ATATATATATATATCGGTTTTGTTTGTCTTCTTTATCTTCAATTGGACTTAATTCAAGTCCGGCCATTTTCTTGTAGTTGTATCTTTTAATATTCTACCAGGACTTACACACGTGTTTCTAATACAACACGTAAACACACACCGGTCCTCTACAACAGCAATAATCGACACTTTCCCATCATTTTCTCCAACGAAAACGAGGCTGTATTTTTTCTAGCCACTAGAAATAGTCTTTCACGGGTAATTCGCTTAAGCTGCCATTTCGTTACCATCTGACGTAGCACCCGAAATATAAGATTTGTTGTACGACTTTTATCAGTTTCAAAAGATTCAAATTTATTTTTTACTAAATAACGCCAGTGGATGACTGAAATATTAACAAATACAAAGAAACTTCTACATCTGCACAAAGATTACATCTTTTACATGGCACTGGTCGTAATTACAGAATATTACGCGATAAATCTATGTAAAAACTACTCCAAGATATATAACAAACCTGAACTTTTTCAGAGATATTTCAAAAGTTCTCCGGTCTATTATAAATGCTACCTTTCAAGAATCAAGTGTTCATAAAAACCAATTGCAGCTAACATAAAAGTAATTGAACAAAACAATTTGTTTTTAATCCAGGCGCTTAGAACAACCATCGATACTGAATAATACCCGCCATGTAGTGGTTGAGAATCTCGAAGCTTAGACTTTTTTTCAAGTTTAGAATTTAGTAGTGTTTGTTCAGCTTTTCTTCATTGAAAGAATTCTGAATTTAGCGTCTTCTATGGATATTAGGCTGCTTGATGTCACCGAAACAAATGGAAATATCAAAATAATATTAATTTCTACTGTGTTATTTGTCTAAGCTTGTAATACTTCGCTTCGTACATCATTCTTTTGAATAAATCTTTGTTGTGATTGGTCATTGTTTTTCTCTTATGATTATCCTATTATTTCAAATTGATTCGTTTGACATGTTTGCATATAACTGGGACAACGATTTAAATAATCATATTTTCTATATTCCAGCATAAGTGAAATTCTGTATTTAAATACAATCGTAGATTTTGTGATATTCCGTATAAACATATGAACCCTATATGACCGACATTTGATGGCTCTAGGACCATTAGTTTTATAATTATTATCATTTTCTTGATTTGCCCATAACGTTGGAACGTGGTCTCTTGAAAGACCTTTGTCTGATCGAATCTATCTTTTTGAGAGGTAATACAAACTTAAATCTCGCCTTAAAATCAAAAGGAGAAACATATGGTTGAATGCGAAACAGAACATTGATTAAAAATGTGCGTTTGACTTTTCAGTTATATTGACGTCATACCAGGAAATAAATGGAATTAGAGAGACCAATAATTACTTGTCTAATTATGTCAAACAGAAGCAGTTTTCATTTGGTCTCTACCTGCCGTTAGTAACAGATTAGTGACGACTAATATCGGCATAAAACAGCTTAACCAACACAGGAAAGGGTGCTTGGAATTAACAAATGGAAATTATCATTAGGGCTTCCTTACAAATATATTCTATAACAATCATAGATATTTTAATATTCTGTATAAAAGTCATTTATTTGGTCGGTATTTGATAATTCTAAAACATTTAATTTCATAATTATTTGTATACAATATTGGAAGGTGATGTAAGTCTGATTGGAAAATCAATGTCTATACAATAAAACTGATATTAACTAAATTATGATAGTAAACCTCTTAAGATATATCTATATAATAAATATACTATATGAATTATGCTTTATGATATATTTTATAACATCTTATTATATAATATCATATTATTATATTTTATTGCAAATATTTTCAATAAATTATTGGTGGCATGAGATATCATAAGATTAGTCCCGTGTTCGCCTATCGCCCGGTCCTGTTTATTGAACAGATTGGATATTAAGATTGGATTTCCGGTTCCTTTCTTTCATAGCCATAATAATTTAACTGTCTTAAATTTTTTGGTGATCGATCAATGGCTGCGACTTTTCATTTTGAGGGTACAGGCTTGGGAGTTTTCTGGTTGCTGCTTCTGGTAGCAAAGAGCTTTAACACCTTGGTAGCTCTGGTCAACAGTCGTTTAATATCAGGATACTTGCTGTGCCTTGTCGCGCATGGTTATGTGTCTCTGTATGTACTTGCGGTGAGGAAAGCATGAGACTACATTATGCTTCCTTCTAGCCGGTTTGTATTGCCATAGACAATGGTGGGAATTATCTTAACCCTTTTCTCCTTAAAAATTAAAATAATCTCTTCTCATGATAGTTAAGATTAAAAGAAACACGAGTAAACAAAACAAATCCCCTAATCCACTCAACCATTCTTTCTTCAATATTCGTGGCTTTCTGTCTTCTTAATTCCTGTTCTTTTTTGTTTTCTTTTATTAATAATGTTTTTCTTTCCCCAAATTTTCCCATTCCATAACCCCTGGTGTCTTAGTGGCTTTATCGCCTTGCGTGGAGGGAAATTTGGTTGTTTTTGTGTTGTTTATCATATTGTTATAATATTATTACAATGTTATCTTAATACGCATAAATATATAGGATAATACACTTATTGATATCTATGTTATTTATTTTCAGTTATATAAAGATTTCCATAGGTTCCAAGGAAGGCACAAGATATTGCGAAATAACTAAATGATGGCAATAATAGTGGAACCTGCGAAGAAGTTTACTACTAGTCAGAAAAACAACCAAACATGAAATTAATAACATTGGCAAAATAAGAAAACAAATGGTACTCAAAAGAAACTGGAGAACATTAAAGAGAAAATATGCAAGAAAATTGGACTACCTAAGGAAATATTTGAAATATTTGAAAAAGCTGGTGTTGTAAATATAAACAAAAATTGCAAAATATTAAGAACATTGTATAAAGATGAATGTAGAGCTACATTGGATTAACCAGATGACTGTGTTACAAGTTAGATCCTTCATGTAAATAGTCCCTCAACGCAGCATAGAAGAAAACAGTATGAAATTAGAGTAATATCTTAAAGTAGTGATTACAAATCCTTTCGAAGTTAATTATGGTGTCAGGATGAATGCACAGAATGAAGTTCTTGAACAAGGTCTTTTGGTTTGGTAAAAGTTACAATTAAGAAGATTTAAGTTAAAAATTATATTCATATATACCTCTTCATGTTCTGTAAACTTGTCAAAAATGTTTCATCGACACCTAAGTTAATTGAATGGCTTTAGCCTTTCAAGATATTAATCTAATAGAAAACTTGTGAACCATCCGTAAAAGTAAAAATAACAGAAGGGAAAATATTCAAAGAAGGTAAAAACTTGAAAGTAATGATAAAGTCAAAAAAGTAGAAAACTTCGTGACAGTTAATAATAGAGGTTACAGAAAGTCAAGTAGCTCTTATTAACTTTTAAAATAATAAAATAATAATGTATTCGCCTCAATAAAATATTGTATCCATCCCATATATATTTATATTTTTGGATTTATTTATAAATAAAAATAACGTTCCTTTTGCATATGAAGTCGAAATCCGGCAAACAAGTTATTATCAATAGTTTTCCTAAAGATAGATATTAAAATCTGAAACTTATATATTGCTCATATAAATATAAGTATATATATATATATATATATATTGCATAGATAAATATAAGTATATATATATATATATATATATATATTGCTATAATATATATATATATATATATATATATATATATATATATATATATGGCTCAGAAAATATAAGTATATCCCGAATATTTTACAAACGTCCGTTGGTTAATATCAATTTTCTATTGGGAACATTACTTTATAACACAATCTTAAATAACTGTATATAATCATTCGTTCTAGTTGATATGTTCATTCCCATTATAGGAGCTGATTTTATTCCCTTTATTGGACAGCAGTTTGATTGATCCCAAAAGACGATCGTCAATCGAGGCCTAAACCAACCTAAAATCGAATGGCTGTTTTCAATCATTTGTCTTGCTAAGACCGAAATTAACAGATACTGAACAATATTCAAAGGTTTTATAGTTTCTGCAGTTATTTCCTGTCATTCTTATTTTATGTCTCAAGTTCTTTAAGTAAATGGGTGATGATGGCCGCACACAATTTTACTTCTTTATTACTCGAAATAATTAGGCTCCTTTCCATATCTTTTTGTCGCTGTTCTGCCATCCGTTCACACAAACACGTTAATTATATGACTCACCATTTCTCATTGCTTCTCTTACCTTCAATATGCCTTGTGAGTGTTAAGTTCTCCAAGCATTCATAATGTGTGTCTCTCTCTCTCTTTCTGATTGTAAGAACATTTAATCACGGTCCCTATTTCCTTTAAAACTTCCTTTTTGCTCACATATTCTGTTCGTGGTCTTCTCGGCCGTCATCCGTAGAACCTCATCTCCGTCGCTTCAAGTCTCTTAGTCTATATTTAAAATTGCCCAGCATTCATTGTAATATTGTCACATAGCACTTCAGCATGAAAATTTCCCTGTTTCTTAATAATTTGTTTAGCTTTTAGAAGACATGTTTTGGGATTCAAATGCGCCTTCTGGGTCTTATTTCTTTGTCGTCTGTTCCTACACTGTCCCCAGATAGTTCGATTTTTGTACCTGAGTGATTTCAACATCCCCGGATAAGTAGCTCACAACTTGCACTATGTCTTTTGGTGGCGACCATATTGTAACTATCCCGCAGTGAAACATGATATAAGGCATGGTCCTCATAAAAGAATTGCCAGGGTATTCTTCACGTTCGTTGGTTGATTTTGTCTAATCGTATATCAACGTCTATGCCGAAATGTAAATATTTTGTACATAATTGTATGCCTTCAGTTACAGATAAAGTGTATTGTTAGTCCTTAAGAAAATGGCCCTTACACTATTTAACGCTATATTACTAAAAGAAAACCGGCAGATTTAGATTCATTACTAAATTTGAATCGTTTTGCTGTCAAACAGGGTTAAGAAGACAGAATTGATCGGAGTCGTTTCGATGCCTTTATCACGATCCTGTCAATCTGTCTGTCTGTCTCATCTGGTTTCGTCTCTATATGTCTGCATCTTATGGACTCGTCTCCGTCTGTCTGCCTCCTTTGGTCCAATTTCCGTCTGTCTACTTCTTCTGGTCTCATCTCTGTATCTACCTATTCTGGTCTCGTCTTCGTCTATCTGCCTAAGGTGGTCTGATCACAGTATGTCTGCTTCTTCTTGTCGCGTCATCATTTGTCTGCCTTTTCTGGTCTCGTCACTAAATGTCTGCCTCTTTTCGCTTCGTTTTAGTGTGTCTGTCTCTGATGGTCTGGTCTCGTTATGTCTGCCTCTTCTGGTCTCGTATCCATGTCTGCCTCTTCTGCTCACGACTCCGTTTGTCTGTCTCTTCTGGTCTCGTCTTCGTCTCTCTGCCTCTTCTGCTCTCGACTGTATATGTCTGTCTCTTCTGGTCTCGTCTCCATCTGTCTGCCTCTTCTGGTTTCGTCTTCGTCTCTCTGCCTCTTCTGCACTCGACTGTATATGTCTGCCTCTTCTGGTCTCGTCTCCGTCTGTCTGCCTCTTCTGGTCTCGTTTCCGTCTGTCTGTCTCTTCTGATCTCGTCTCCGTCTGTCTGCCTATTCTGGTTTCATCTTCGTCTCTCTGCCTCTTCTGCTCTCATCTCCATCTGTCTGCCTCTTCTAGTCTCGTCTCCATCTGTCTGCCTCTTCTGGTCTCGTATCCGTCTGTCTGTCTCTCCTGGTTTCGTCTTCGTCTCTCTGCTTCTTCTGCTATCGACTGTATACGTCTGTCTCTTCTGGTCTCGTCTCCATCTCTCTGCCTCATCTGGTCTCGTATCCGTCTGTCTGCCTCTCCTGGTTTCGTCTTCGTCTCTCTGCCTCTTCTGCTCTCGACTGTATATGTCTGCCTCTTCTGGTCACGTCTCCATTTGTCTGCCTCTTCTGGTCTCATATCCGTCTGTCTGCCTCTCCTGGTTTCGTCTTCATCTCTCTGCCCCTTCTGCTATCGACTGTATATGTCTGTCTCTTCTGGTCTCGTCTCCATCTGTCTGCCTCTTCTGGTCTCGTATCCGTCTGTCTGCCTCTCCTGGTTTCGTCTTCGTCTCTCTGCCTCTTCTGCTATCGACTGTATATGTCTGTCTCTTCTGGTCTCGTCTCCATCTGTCTGCCTCTTCTGGTCTCGTCTCCATCTCTCTGCCTCTTCTGGTCTCGTCTCCGTCTGTCTGCCTTTTCTGGTCTCGTATCCATCTGTCTGCCTCTCCTGGTTTCGTCTTCGTCTCTTTGCCTCTTCTGCTATCGACTGTATATGTCTGTCTCTTCTGGTCTCGTCTCCATCTCTCTGCCTCTTCTGGTCTCGTCTCCGTCTGTCTGCCTATTCTGGTTTCGTCTCCATCTCTCTGCCTCTTCTGGTCTCGTATCCGTCTGTCTGCCTCTCCTGGTTTCGTCTTCGTCTCTCTGCCTCTTCTGCTATCGACTGTATTTGTCTGTCTCGTCTGGTCTCGTCTCCATCTGTCTGTCTCTTCTGGTCTCGTCTCCATCTGTCTGCCTCTTCTGATCTCGTCTCCGTCTGTCTTCCCCTGCTGGTCTTTTCTCTGTATGTCTGCCTCTTCTTGTCTCGTTCCCGTCTGTCTGTCTCTGCTGGTCTCGTCTCTAAATGTCTGACTCTTTTGGTTTCGTCTCAGTGTATCTGCCTTTGCTGGTCTGGTCTCGTCTTCGTCTGTCTGAATCTTCTGTTTGGTTGTTTTTGTTTAGAGGCATATCAACACCTCTGTGTGTTTTTAATGCCGAAATCTAAATATTTTGAACACAATTTTATGGTTTCAACTAAATATATTTGCAACATAATTATATGCCCCCAACAAGAGATAAAATGTATTATTGGACATTTTGCTATAAAATGTATTGGTAACTCTATAAAATTGTATTGTTGGTCATTTAGCTTTAACATTGTATTGTTGGTAATTTTACTATAAATATGTATTGTTATGATTTCAAAGTTTGTTTATTTGTTGTTTGGAGTTTCACTATTTGCTCATCACTGGGACCCCAACAGGTGTTACCACCCCTGGTCAGAGTGGACAACAGCAATTGAGGCAGTTCCAAGCTATTCAAAACCTCCAATCTCCCGATCAGAGGCATGCTGCTAGATGTCGTTTATCGTCATACCCAGGACTTGATTTCTCGTCCAAGATGACACCCGCTAGACAAACTTAAAAGAGCTGAAGATGAATTTGACCAGGTGAGGATTTTAAGGTGTAATCTAACATCTGACCAGTAGATTAGCGTCACTATTTCATCTCGTGCCGAGGAAAAGAGCTTAATTCCTGAAGACTCTGTGACGTTTTCCAGAAATCCAACGGTATTATGGGACAAAATAGCTGTTCAGTTTCTGGTATCCGAGATTTTAATGTGCAATAGATAGAAAGTCTGTTTTCACCAGACTTGGGCTAATACAAGCCAACTATCAGATACTTGAGGTACTAACTGTCAGATATTTTTTAAAACAGCGCAACTTTTAAGTTCAGGAAAGGTGACGTCTATGGCTTCGATGACATTTTCTTATACACCGACCAGGTCCTTTACATCAGATTTTCACTCAATGTACACGGGTAAAATATGATAATATTGTTCGGTATTCTTTTGGTGTCTGAAGTTACAACGATCGAATCGTTGTGGCTACATCAACCAAGATGAATATGATGGTTCGAATAGAAAGGCATAGAATACCAGGAATAAGGTGATATATTACAAAGAAGCAGTGAATAGGGTAAATATAATTTTCATAGTAAATATAATAGTAATATTAATACTTGATAAATGTTAACTAACCAACATTGGTACGATATCTAATGGTTGAGTACTAGATTTCGAGTTGGTAAGAACTAAAAAGAACGGTACATTGTGGAGAACTATGAACGTCAATTTCGTAAAAGGACATGACACATAAAATAAGTGACAACAGACTTGCTGCAAATTTGAAATTCCTTGATATAAAAACAAGCGTTTCAATGATATAAAAGGTTTATTCAATTTTAGTAAACCTTTTTTATCCTTAAAAAGAAGAATGGTTGACAAAAAATCTAATATAAAAATTATTATTATTATCAAATGAACAAAATCATTTCCATTGAAAACTTATTTACTACTGTTTCGTTCTTGTAGCAGAAACCCATTCGTTAGAAACTCAGTTTGATTCACCGACAAATACTGACAAAGAGAAATTCAAACTTGAAAATCTACCATAAATCAAACGTATTTTTAATGGATTTTAATGAAGATTTTGGTACTTACAGTGCTGTGTGAAAAAAGTGACTATTTTTTGGAAAACAAATCTTGTTTTTTCTTAATATCTTAGATAAAAAATAGAATTTAAAAAAAAATGAGTATAAATAAGAATAATAATACATTGTCTGCAATTTTACAAAAAATTCTTAAGAAACAAACCTAAAGCATATTAATTTTTGTTTTTAAGGTAAATATTTACTGTGCTAAAAAAGGGACTTACTTTTTATACTGTATTAATTATGTACAAAGTTAATCTAATATTTTCTTAAAAGTAAAATTTAGTAAAATAAAAACAAAAAAGAAAAAATTTTATTAGTAATTTATGCACCCCCCCACTTTTGTTTTTCAGAACTTTGTTAATTCGGTCCGTCATACACTTAATGAGAGTTATGCAGATCTCATCTCCTAGCAAACTGTTCCACTCCACAAGAAAAGTTTCAATCAAAGTTTCTTTATTTTGAATGATTTTCTTCGAAAGTCTTAATTTTATTACGCTCCATAAATTCTCGATTGGGTTTAGGTCAGGAAATTGTAGTGGCCATACCATAACATTGACATTTTTTTTAGATAAATAATTTTTCATCTGCTTTGATGTGTGGCAGGGAGCATTGTCTTGCATAAAAACTGAGATCTGATTGATCAATTTCGAGTTTTTCGGCAGACAGATGGCAGCAATCAAGTGTCTAATATTTTTGAGTATTGAGTGCTGTTCAGCATTTTGTCAACTGCTTTGAAAAATCTAGTCCCATTGAATGAGAAGCAAACCATAAAATTGACAGAATGCTTCACAGTCATTTTGACTGTCATTTTCAAAGGGTTTTCTTTGCTCCTCCGTTTGATTTTCATTCTTTTGTCTTTTAAAAACATTTCAATTTTTGTCTGGTCGTAGAAAAGAACATTTTTTTTCAATCAGACTGAGTGAAGGACTTGTAAGTATTTGCCCATGCTAAATGTTTAGCCTTATGTATTTAATTTAGTAGTAGCTTAAAAACTTTTGAATAGGCTTTGTAACCTTCGTTCAAGAGCCATCTACGTACAGTAGACGATTTGATACTTACTTGGAGATCTTTTTTCAAAGCAGCAGCAATTGACCGGTTTTGGTTAATTTCTCTAATGACTTGGGGCCAGTTCTTTCATCAATCTTGTGTTTTCTACCCATGTTTTGTATCTTGATAAATGTTTCAGTGGAATTGAAGCTTCTCAAAACTCTCGAGACAATTGACTGAGAAGTGTTGTTGCAATTTCTCGAGTCGATTTAGCAGCTTTTGAAAAGCGCAACTATTAATACTTTAACAGATTGCGGTGTGTGCTCATAGCTTTTCATAACAAATCACTAATTAATTATGTTTTTGGTTTCTTTTATATACTTTAAAATAATTCTAGAACTTTCTACAATTTTTTAAAATATTCTGGAATAAAATTATGCAAATAAAATTACAAGGTGTTTTAAAATAATGACACATTTTTATGAGTTATTTTTTGACAGTAGAAAACTTGTTAAATAATCAAAAACGGTCATTTTTTTTCAAATAATAGTTCCGAATTATATTTTAATTTTACTAATAATATGTATGTTTTTAATTGAAAAAATAAATGAATTTTTTTTATTTGTCATTAAATTGAAAAGAATATTGTTGAGTCACTTTTTGGCTCAGTACTGAACTTTTTTAAATATGGAAGTTATTCATTAAAAGTTCATTTCATGAAATAATCAGTGGAGTGGAAGTGCTTTACATAATTACGGTGGATGGCTGAAAATTAAGGTACAAATCGGTATAGAGCGGAATTGTAACATTGTAAAAGTTATAAATTGAAAACACCAGCAAGGTGGGTGGGGGGAGTTAATATTTTCTACTTTACATGACGCTACAATTAAACAGTAGAAAAACAATTGCTCGGCAAAATCCACAAGCAGATTGCATTTAGACCCAATATCCATTCATTCCCCCATACAGTTACATGGATACACAAACACCTGATGAAGGCACTAAAGCCGAAATGTCGTGGCAATAACAATAAAGTTGAGGACAATAGAAAACTTATTGAGAACCAAAATATGTAATGGGCCCAAAGTGTATTATTAGTCAAGATACTCTCTCACTACCCTGTACCTCCATCTCCCCCGCATCTCACTACCCTGTACCTCTATCCCCCCCCATCTCACTACCCTGTACCTCCATCCCCCCCCGCATCTCACTACCCTGTACCTCCATCCCCCCCATCTCACTACCCTGTACCTCCATCCCCCCATCTCACTACCCTGTACCTCCATCCCCCCCGCATCTCACTACCCTGTATCTCCATCCCCCCATCTCACTACCCTGTACCTCTATCCCCCCCGCATCTCACTACCCTGTACCTCCATCCCCCATCTCACTACCCTGTACCTCCATCCCCCCCATCTCACTACCCTGTACCTCCATCCCCCCATCTCACTACCCTGTATCTCCATCCCCCCCACATCTCACTACCCTGTACCTCCATCCCTCACATCTCCATACCCAGTAGTTTTCTTCGGTCTGCTGTTAGGTAAAAAACGAAAACGGAATCTTCTTAGCGGTTAGAATGACGAATGCTGGCCTGTAGTATCTGCGATGAAAATGTAGTATCTGTTCTTCTCTTCAATAAACCATGAAGGATACCTGGTCTCTAACCTGAGGATAGCGCAACTTCATCATTCTATTAAAGAAGGAGGGTTGATAAAAAACACCAACGTCAACGTGACAGTAGTCGCATGGAATGGTCAGGTTTTGTCTGTGGCTTATATGTACGCGTATGGGCAGCCCCATTAAACCTGACCTTGTGCCATTCCTATTTGCGTGGGAGGTTAGTAAATAGTGATTGACACTCTTTTTCTGAAAGGTCATCAGTTGTTCACCTCGCTGAACAAAAAGAGACACACAAAGATTTTTCTTCAGTCGTTAAAATGTTTTCTTTATTCTTCATATTTGTTTAATGATGACATCTATTATGAAAGCGGAGAGGACGAAAGAGTAAGTGAGGGAGTGCGTGTGTGGGAGGGATACAAAGAGTTGCGTATGAGTTGCAATGTGTGAGAGATAATGTTTAATTAAGAGAGAGTAAAGGGATATGAGTGAGAGAAGAGAGTAGAAAGTGTTGACAAGCGTTATATAGTCTTGTAAACTGTGTTGCATTATATAAAATGTAGTGTATGAAACAGAGAGAGAGACATTAAATTATGAGAGAGAGAGAAAGAGAGAGAAAGTGAGAGAGAGATTAAGTTTGGAGAGAGAGAAATAGAATGAGAGAGAAAGAGAGTGAGTGAGAGAGAGAGATTAAGTTATGAGAGAACGTAAGAGAGTGAGTGAGAGAGCGATTAAGTTATGAGAGAGAGAAAGAGAGTGAGAGAGATTAAGTTATGAGAGAGAGAGAGAAAGAGAGAGATAAAGTTATGAGAGAGAGAAAGAGAAAGAAAGTGAGTGAAAGAGAGAGACTAAGTTAAAGTGTTTGTGTGAAGAAGAGATTATAAAGTTTACCTTGAATAGAACTGAGGAAAGACAAGTTTCACAAAAAGATACAAAGGTTTTTAATTACAAATCTAAAGTAATTGTTTAGCAAGAAACCATTACATTGTTTCATTGTATTTTTCATTAGTTCCTTCATTTTTTTTTCCATCTTTTTTCTTTTCATTTTTTTTTTTTTTTTTTTTTGTTGATAGACGTGAACTTTTCTGTTTGAGAAGCATTGAACAATGTAATTGTTAGGAATATAGGTCAAGAAAGAAATGTATTTTACAATAGTAATAGGTGGGAAAGAGCGGGGGAGGAAATCTTTGAATTAATATTCTTTTGGGGAGGGAAAGATAAAACATAAACACTTTCAAACTAAATTTCAACATTTTTACCACAAACTTAATTTCCTACATTAAAGTCCAGGCTAATGATATTAAAACCTGTGACTTGTACTGGCCTCATACATACACGACACCCTTCCCCCGGCTTCGACTGCGGCAGTTCCAAAATAATACTAAGCTCAAGGGACCCAGGCAGTATATCTCCTTAGGGAAGGGGCTAGGGTAATTAACTGGCGCCTCAGGCGTACCCAAAAGAGGTAAGTGACGAGAAGATTTGAGCAATTTGTCCACCGTTAAACCGACTATAAACATCGACCTTGTGCCACATTCAGTAGCGACGTTGAGGCACTGAAAAATATCCCATACAATGTACTCCCTCTTCTCTCTCTCTCTCTGTATATATATATATATATATATATATATATATATATATATATACGTATCGTTATGCGTGTTTGTATACTAATGTATTCGTACCATCAAAAATTTATAAGATATGTAAGCATTTTGGACTTGAGCAAATAGAGTGCAAAACAGGGCTTCGCAGAAATAAAAAGACAATACTTATTAAGAGCTACAAGGGAGAGGAAGAGGTGGAGGGTCATGATCGCCTACGTCCTGAAGGGACACGGTACATAAATGAAGAAGAAATATTTTGCAGTTGTACTTTTAAAAATATAAACTTTATATGGCTGTGCATTTTTCTATATTTTTGTTCGATATTTCTTGACTGTGAAACTAAAATTAAAATTAAGTACATCTGCCAATTAATTCTTTTCCTTATCCTTTTACCATACATGTAAGTAATTATAAAAATAAACTTTATATATATATATATATATATATATATATATATATATATATATATATATATATATATAAAGTGAACCTAGAAGTCAACACTTAGGGGCGACAGTCTGTTTCATGCTAGATGCAATCGCCAGGCCACGACTCTAAGTGTTGACTTCTATGTTCACTTTTATATTTACACATGCTCTATCTCTGATATTGAGCACTTTATCCCATAAATATAGAACATCTTATGACAATATTACTTCATATATATATATATATATATATATATATATATATATATATTACTTTAAATTATTTATTTATAAAGCCAATCACAAGTTAAGAGTTAATTAATATTAACCTAAGAATTTGAATCGTCCTTAAATAACGTCGTGAACTCGAATCTTTCCTATGGATGTCATGCCTGATGCCAAACTAGGTGAGAAATATCACTTTCTCACATCTATGATTAAAAAATGACTTCCAGCAAATAAACCCTGTAAGTCTCTTAGTGAGGATACTAGTACTTCGGACGTTGTGGACTGGCGCTGTAGAATCACAAAGAAACTGTAGAACATATAACTCGAAGAGAAAATAAAGAATTAATCAACGTTAACTATCAACAAAGTCTATTTCTTTTATTCCTTTCAGATAAACGCAAAAGAAGCCGCCTGACTGAGACGATTCCATGTCTCCTTCTCAAACACGATAAGTAAAGAAAGACGCCATATTTAAGTAATTTTACAGACATTGTCTTTACATAATATCGAAATTTTTATATTACTCTTCAATTTCTGTCTTCTGAGCTATATTCCCTGAAAATCAAACCAAGAGTAAAATTAGCAGTTGGGCCTCTTCGTCTTATGCCTTGCTATAAAATAAAACAATTATAAGAAATGAAAATTATTTTTAATATATATTTAAGCATATTTTACTGATGGCTTTCATGAATCCATTTCGCCTCAACTCTATGAATAAATAACAGGACAGATGAAGAGATTTATTCCTTGAATGCAGTCATTATTGATGGTCGGGCCGCTATCCAGGTTTTGTCAAAATCCAGAATTGCTACGGTAAATAATTTGAGAAATAGAAAGGATAATCCTGTGATTCGTGCCATAGGGGGGGGGATATTTTGCTTTACCAAAGGTGATGTTAATCGTCAATTTTGAGTGAGTTGGGAATTATGATAGAAAAACCCCAGTAAATTCAATAAATCAGGTTTATGATTGAATTAAAGGACGCATTTGTATGTGTCTGTGTTTGCTTTGATTTATTTAACAACAAAGCAATTCCTTATGGATCATGTAATGCCGAAATTTAATTTATTTGGGAGCTTTGGTAATTTTTTTACAATTAAAAATGTATTTTTATACTTCGATGGCATTTTGAACCCATTTTGGGGGTTCACTATTTGCCCATAGCTGGGACCCTAACAGATGATTCCCACCCCCTAGGCGAGAGTGGACCTTGGAACAACAGCAATTAAGAGATGTTTTCACGCTCCTCAAAACTTCCCCATCTTCAGCTTTGCTGCCGGATGTAGTTTATCATAATGCCAAGGATGCGCATGCGCGCGTGTGTGTGTGTGTGTGTTGACTCATACACTCATAAATAGGTCACTGATTAAACCGGCATCGAGACTTGGGATATTTCAGTTGATTAATCACTCAGTCGAATAGCAGATTTTCCTATTCGTTTCCCTCGTAATTCTGGCGGACAGGCTTCTTTGTTTTGATCTGTTCCTTACCTTCTCTCAGGTCTCTTGTCGCGCTTTGCACCTCCGTCCTCTTGGTAAATCAGGTCACGTTTTAGTGTCTATAGATATTTCTTTCCACGCGTATATTAGGCAAGAATACCCTAGTCATAAGACATGATTTTGTTACCAACGCACTGACTGGGATAATTTTCTGATTTTCTTCGCGATGTCTTCTTGGAAAGAAACTTTTAATCATCCTCTTGAAAATTGTAGCACCTAAGTTTCATTGAGGCATCGAAGAAATTCTAAGTGAAACCGCAATCTTTTTTGTTCGCTCTTGTCTATTCATCCTCTATAGCCCATAGGAATCACTTCTTTCAGTTAGACTAACGTCATAGTTCGGATCAGAACAGAAGGCCTATTTGTATCCGCTCGTAATCATTGTAAACGTGTCTTCAATGAGTCGTTGTTTGCTGATAGAATTATACATCGTATAGCCTATCACATGTTCGGTTCGGGTGATTATTGACGATTATGCCAGAGTGTGTTAAACAAGGTTAAATCCTTAATTCTTCCTCTCTTCAATCAGTTACCATTTATTGTTGATAAAGCAGAATGCCGTGCTCATAAATTCGTTTCTACCTCCACTCTTGACTCATCAAGAGTATCTTTGCTTTATTTTTCACTTAGAACGGAATCTCTACCGTAGGATATGCAATATAACTCCCTCCATGGTTTCTACTATCATCTCCAAACCATGTAATTATTCTAAGGAACTGAACTTGTTCTCTACTAACTCTGCAATCGATGCTTTGCTGCTTCTTACTTTCAAATGTTGAAATCCGCGTCTATAATTCATGTCTTTACGAACACTGATGAACCTTCTGATTGCTCGAATTATTGCCCTATTAGTCTTCTACACGTTTTTGGCAAAGTAATAGACGCTCTAATCAACTCCGAATTCTTTAAGCATCTAACTTCAGATAAACAATATGGCTTTCGCTTCTGTAGGTCAACTGTGTTAACGATTATTGCTAAAAGAGTCTGCCAAGCTTTATAGAAGAAGGGCAAAACACTGACTGTGCCTTTAAATATCTCGAAGTCGTTTGAAAGGGTTTGACATGGTATTTTTCTTCAAGCTAAAGTGTTATGGTGCCTTCGGTTGAATGTTTGATTTGATTCTGTGTATTTCTTAATAAATTAAGGTCGGGTTGGATGGTTATTC